AATCTCCACAAGCTTGCAGGGAAATGCCAGCTTCATGCTCTTAAAAGGGAAATGCGGCTGCTCTTAAAGGGGAAACGCCAGCTCCTGCATTTAAAAGGGAAACGGCGGCTCCTTTAAGTGCAGGGAACTGCCGTTTCTGGAGATCTGGCACACGGGCAGCGGGGGGGGGTGGACGTCACCAACGTGATGTCATCACGTCGGGGATGCCCCGCCCCCTCCAGGAACACCCCCAAAGTCCTCCGCTGGGGGTGGAAGATGGACTTGGCAACCCTAAAAAAGGAACTATATGTATGTGTGCCCAAGATGAACTAGGTACTGGGCAAGTAGGTAAAAGCCACAACCACAGCCACACCAGTAGAACAGGACAGGATGGTGCAGAAAAGAGTAGGGGAGGCTAATGTAATTAAGCACTCGCCACCTCAACCACAGGCCTGGTGGAACATCTCCGTTTTATAGGCTCTGTCGAACTTGAACAAGTCCCACCTTTCTGCTCTTACAAAGGCCACCAAAGCTACCACTTCAGCCATTTTCTTATCAATTCTCTCTACTGGCCTGCTAGTTTCAACCCTGGTAGTCAGTGAAATCTGGATTTGTCATGGTATATGCTAGTTCAATTGCCTGTGCTATGGCCATGCATATCTGTCCCCGGGGAATATATCAGGGCCATGCCAGGGAACAAGCTAGGATGTCTGCATTTATACCACACACAAAACTATGGTTAGATTCAAAGCTGATTTCAGATCCTGCATGGTTTTGGATTACGACTGCATTTCTGTCTTTCAGGATAACTGCTCTGTAGAGTGGTTGATGCTAGTAGAGGGTTGTTGATTTGCTATCTGCAGATTAAATCACATAGGTTGCACAAAAATGAAACTGGGATGTTTACATTACATAAGCACCAGGTCATAATCATTAATTATTACTAGCTTTTCAGTGTAATTCAGCTGATGCTGTTAAATGATAAATTGATTTACGTTTATTGAGTTTGATTAATTGTACAATAAGCGGACCATAAACTGGACCACGGCCCAGTTTAAGTGGCTCCAGCCACTTCTCCACATAAATAGGTGTCTCTCAGAACTAGAGATTAAAGCAGTGTCAGAAGAAAAAAATCTAGGTGTCCTGTATGCTTCCTATTCAGGAATGTGATCACAAAGCCAGTTAATTGTATGAAAAGGCTCCCATTGACTTCAGCTGGATGAAAATGCTTGACTTGCTGCTTGAACTACATAGGATAGTTTGAATGCATGCACGAATTGTACTGTAATCACAGGTTTTCCCAACAACCGCATCTGAGAGAAGATATTATGTAAATACAAGGGGGGGCGGTTAACAAAAAAAAAGCATCTGTGCTTCCAGCCCCCTGGCCTCCACTTCCTAACAGGAGGGATGACCAGTAGGCAAAATAACAACAATAACACATGCAAGCACAACTGCCAGACCAATCACCTATAACCGAACACGAGTACAATTTAAAACAGAAGTAAGGTTTATTTCAACAAAGAGGGATAGGGAATCAAAGCAGGACACACATATACAAAACTCATAAGAACATAAGAGACCAATGTTGGATCAGGCCAGAAAACTCAAACGTAGTGCAACTTAATGCCAGAACCAAAGAGGGGAATACAGTCTTTTACTGTGTCTCTGAGGCCTTCTGCAAGTCTCTCACACTTAGGGTTGCCAGCCTCCAGTTCTCTTGGGATTACAATTGATCTCCAGGTGACAGAGATCAGTCCCCCTGGAGAAAATGGCTGCTTTGGAAGGTGAGCTCTATGGCATTATGCCCCACTGACGTCCCTCCCCTCTCTAAACCCCACCCAACTTCAGGCTCCAAATATGACAGCGGTGGCGTAGGATAGAATAAATGTATCTGTCTGGTTGTAAACTAGTCTGAGTCAGTGGCCATTTTTTTTTCTTTCTTAACGGCAATACGTTTCCCTCAAGCGGGATCATCAGTTGGAATCTTCACAAATCAAATCGCAAACATAGAACTTCCATATCACTTTATACATCACCTCAAACTCACACAGTGCTTTCAAGCCAGTTCACACATTCAGAAGTCAACCATATTACAGCTGATCTCCAGATGACCAAGATGATGATGATGATGATGATAATAATAATAATAATACTTTCCATTTATTAATCACTTTCCCCAGTGGGCTCAAAGCGATGTACAGTTACTCAGTATAGACAAGGGACTAACAATGTTTGTAGGGGAAAGGAAAGACAACATATATTCATTTTTAATTGCACGCGCCGTCACTACCCGGTATAGACGTCTTCTGGCTTGGCTTTGTCGTTTTCCGCACGGCTGCGTGTTGGCCAGATTAGTTCCCCTGGAGAAAATGGCTGCTTTGGAGGGTGGACTCTGTGGCATTGTATCCTGCTGAGGTCCCTCCCCTCCCTGAACCCCCTCCTCCTCAGGCTCTACCCCTAAAATCTCCAGGTATTTCCCTGCCCAGAGCTGGCAACCCTCATCTAGTATATACGAATCAGGATTTGAGTAATCATATTGGTCCTTAGGATCAAACTGGAAGGGAATTGAAAACAAATCAGCCAGTATCATGATGCCCATGTATAAATCGATGGTGCGACCTCATTTGGAGTACTGTGTACAGTTCTGGTCACCACACCTCAAAAGGATATTATAGCATTGGGAAAAGTGCAGAAAAGGGCAACTCAAATGATAAAGTTGGAACACTTTCCCTATGAAGAAAGTTTAAAGCGCTTAGGGCTCTTTAGCTTGGAGAAACGACGGCTGAGGTGACATGATCGAGGTTTATAAGATTATGCATGGGATAGAGCAGGTAGAGAAAGAGGTACTTTTCTCCCTTTCTCACAATACAAGAATTCGTGGGTACTCCATGAAATTGCTGAGCAGTCGGGTTAGAACAGATAAAAGGAAGTACTTCTTCACCCAAAGAGTGATTAACACATGGAATTCACTGCCACAGGAGGTGGCAGCTAGAAGCATGGATGGCTTCAAGAGGGAACTGAATAAACATATGGAGCAGAGGTCCATCAGTGGCTATTAGCCACAAGGTATAGATAGGAACTCTCAGTCTGGGGCAAGTGAGAGATTAATTCTCCCTGCCATGTTATGTTCCTTCCCAGACTCAAACATCCCCTTGGAGTGCCTGTTTTTCCCACTGACCGAAACATTCAGGCAGTACACAGGCAATGTGTATATTTCCCCAAATGTGGGGGACTATTTAGCAATAAAAAGTGCTTTGGCAATGCATTCATTGATCCTTTCGCATCTCATCTGGTATGATCTGGAATCTCAGGATCATCCTAGTCCATGAACAAGGGCTTTGGTGGGGGGATTTTATGGTATTTTGGTATTGGTATTTGGTACTGACATTGGTATTTTTAAAAAAATCTGAGAAGGCAGGGATTCTAAATGAAAATGTTGGTGACTTGTGTAAGTACCTGTTGGGGCTGGGATTCCTCCCCTTGTTACTTTAGCCAACAGATTCCAGAGGAATTCCATCCTCTTGCCTCAGTGTTCTGTTTGCAAATGTGGAGGGAAGGGTTTAATTTTGAACTTCCGCTGTCCAAAATGTCTATGATCGGTGCAGTTTGGATGGCTAGAAAATCAAAGGGTGAGGACTAGATTATGGTCTCATAAGCACCATTACCTGGAAGCGATCTTTACACGTTCTTTACAGATGCTAACTTTTTGCCCCTAAGCATTTCTCCCCTACTCTAACTAAGCTAATTACATTCTGTGTGGTACTTCTGCATCTTGACTCCTTTCTTTGCAACACCCCTCCCACGTCCAGACTGGGGTCGAAGGACTCAGAGATCTCCATTCCTTCTTGTATCCGACAAAGGGAGCTTTGACTCCCAAAAACTTGCATCTCCAAAATCTTGCTGGTCTCTAAGGTGCGATTGGACTCGAATCTAGCTCCTCTGCAGACCAGCATGGCCCACCTCTGAAAATGTCTTACACATTCATGTGTAAGGAACATCGTGTGGTCCCCCTGCTCACATGGCAACCGTGCATATCAAGAAAATAGCGCAATCTCTCTTAATCTGTGAATGACCTACAAAAATCAGAATGACGGAAAAGGCTAGATCTTGACTGGTATATCAGGCCTGTCAAATGCTATAGAGTGCCAGTTTAAGGAAGGGCAAGGGAGCAGTTGTGAACAAATCTACATCCCTTCCAGTGGCCCACAAAAGGTGTCTGTGAGGGACAGCTTGCCCATTTTACATTTGCGTGCCTGGCCCTGAAAGAAATGTTGTAGGTAAATGCTGTGGAGTGGGAGTTGTTTATAGTGAAGCTAGAGCCTATAAAACGCGGTTTTATAGGGAAGTAAAATGAAAGTTCCACATTGTTCCAGCACACGACGGTGTGTGAATTACAGTTCCAGTTACTCTGACCTTCAACAACTAGGGAGACAACAGGGTGTGGGAGAAGAGAGAGGATCTGACAGAGTAAAGCTTATGAAACGGAGGCAGAGTGAGAACAGGGGAAGGAACGTTTGTCTGTGTGGTCTAGATCCAGCGGTCTGATTCTTTGCAGCTTGAACTCCAAAGAAGGCAATTGTAACATCTGGGCATTTGTTCCAGCAAGTCCTGGGGAGGCCCTTTGCTTCCGGAGAGGTACAGTTTCCTTGCCCCACTGCAATCCTTACGCATGCACCTGTCCCCGAGGTGCAGTTGGCAATGTGCTGCCGACTCATCCCATAGTAAACAGTCAACAAATTTGCTACTGCTCTACCAAAAGAGGAGGGGGAAGGAAGGAAGAAGAAGCTGAGCTGAGCGGCAAGCGTTAGTGGGTGAGATGATTAAAGATTAACCCCCCTGGCCTCCTGCCTCCACCCCTCTAGGTAGTATAGGCCTTGAAGCTCAGCAGGTCTTTTCAGAGGAATATTTGAAATAAAAGCCAACAGATAGGGGGACGCCAGCAACATCGGTTTGAAGAGGGTTGCAGGACCAATAACCTCTGGCTGCAGGATCGCTGTAATCCGGCCCCGTGTTTGCTGATGACAATGCGCCTTTCCAAAGCCCTGATAGACATGGAGATGGCAGATTATAGTGCCGCTTTAGACCCAGCTTACACTACTCTGGAGTTTGAGAACATGCAAGTCCTGACCATAGGCAACGGTAAGTGGCAAAGCGGAGCTTATTCTTCTCTATTGACACTGGAAAGGCAAAGCAGCCAGAATTCAGACATGCATTTGTCGGGGGAGCCGGACTGTGCGGCCGATTCATCCTTTCTCTTACTTTTTTCTTTGTGACATAAGGAAAACCTGAAAGGGCCATGTCAGTGGAGGTTCTCCAGACTAATCCCTTTTACCCATTTACCTCAAGGTGTTTTTTTTGTTTTGTTTGACTAGTGCTCCACTTGGCATGTACTGACTAACATTTCCAGGGTTGGGTGCGGTATAGAAATATTATAGGTCTTCTCTCACACTGCATATCTGGCTGTGAAAGGCAGAGAAACAAACCTGGAACGTGGAATGGATGGTGAGTCCCAAAGGGAAAAGAAAATATTTAGAGGATGACTGCTGTTGAATGGGTTTTGGAAGGATCAGATGGGAATTTTTGCTTTCTCTGGTTAGAGAGACATCTGCAGTTCTAAGGGCTATTAGGGACTGAAGTTGTGCATTGGCCGTGCAGTAGAAATCTCTGACATTCCTGGTGCCATACATCAGGGGAGACTGCACTTTAAATTCATTTAGTTCAGTTAAATACATTTTAATTCATTTTAAAGTGTGCCACTGTATGGTAATTTGGGTTAGTAACAATAACTCTGTATGGTAGTCCTGTGTTATTCCCATATGGTTGGTAGAGGGCAAAGCTAAGCCTACCGCGTTAATTTGAGGGTGAGGTGCAATTTAAACCAGGATCTTCTTGCCTCACAGTTCACAGATAGAACCTCACGTCGCATTCTCAGACGATCTTGCCACATTTGTGCACAACACAGTGAGGAGTTTTGTGTGGTCACTTTTATAGCCTGCCTTTAGTTTGACATGACTCAAAGCTGGAGCAGAGAATTAGCCCAAAAGGAAGCCCACTTTTTCAATGGCTCCATCTTGTTTTATGGACAGGAGTGGAGAAACACAGAAGACAGGCGGTTCTGCCCACCTCTAACATATCACCCATCTGAAGCCTCTTGAACCTTTTGGGGATTCAGTTTTGCTCACAAAGCCAAAGAACATTCTGTGGTGTGTTTATTTCAAGTTCTCTAAATAGCAGATAGGTGTCTAATCTGAATTCTTAATACTGCCCTGTGGTCAAATGCTTACAAAAATCTCCTGGTCTTCCCTAAGGGCCTCTAACAAGCTCATCATAGAAGCTTTGTATACTTCTTCAGCTGTAACTGTTTGGTAAATTCTGTACCCATTTTCCAAAGATGAGTACAGTATGCTTGTATATTGTACAGCGAATTTTGTACCCAATTACGGTGTCTGTTTCGTTTGGCACACTACAGTTTGCTTAACTTTGGGAGTATTTATTCTTGACTATTTAATTATTAACTTCATTTATACACTGCATTTCTCTCCAGCGGAGACTCAAAGTGTGTTATATTGTTCTCTGTGCCTCCGTTTTATCCTCACAACAACCCTGTGAGGCCATTTAGGCCAAGACTGTGTGACTGGCCCAATGTGACCCAGGAAACGTCCAAAGCAGAATGGAGATTCAGATCTGGGTGTCCCAGTTTCTAGCCCAGCACCACTATACCACAGTGGCCCTTATCTGACTGCCAACTTGTACTGAAATTGTGAACATTTTAATATTTGGGAAATCGAGTGCTTGGGGACAAGGAAAGCTCATGTATTTATGATGAATGTGCATTGTAGGGATACATGTTTTAGAAACACCTCCTGATCGGTCACGCCACCCGAACTTATGAAAATATTAGATGTGTTGCCCACTATCTCAGTCTGGACACGTCTACATTTGAAACGTAAAACTATTCTAAGCCTGATTTAGCTGCTAAACACAGAAACCTGGGAACTGTAGTTTTATGGGGAAAGAAATCTCAGCACTTGGAAAAACTGCAATTCTTCGGAGAGCAGCTCTTATAGGCTTAGTAGTTTCAAACTAAGTCTAAATTTAGAATGTGGATGTATGTTACAAAGCCCTTGATCACTATATAAACCCATTCCATTCTCTTATGCCAAATAATGGAATTTCTGTTGTTTTCTTTGAAGATTACAAGAGTGTACTTCTTCCCCTTTGGGAAGATTTCTCAGAGATCAGGAGTAGATTTTTCCTACTACAACAGTTTATGAGGTCCATAACTATATTTATTTACTTTATTTATACACTTTCTTTCCAAGAAGGACCAAAAGTGGCTCACATCATTCTCCATTTTATCCTCACAACAGCCCTGTGAAGTAGGTTAGCCTGAGTGTGTGTGACTGGCCCAAGGTCACCCAGCAAGTTTTCATGGCAAAGTGGGGTGTCCCAGATCCCAATCTGACACTCTATGCAGTACACCACACTGGCTTTCAGGACTTTGGGCATATTATGTCGTGACTTTTCTTTAAAATATCCTCCTGCAATAGGCCATTAAAATATATAGAGTTTGGAGATAATATAATGAGGATGGCATTTGCCGTGTTTAGCAAAAAGTATCAGCTAGCGTAGTAATGTCATCAAGGCTGTTTTCCTAAACCTCTGAAATGGTCTGTTTCCCTCTCTTGGGTATCCACAGGGCACCGCTCATGGGTATAAAGATGGTGACATAGCACTATATCTGTCTGTTACATGAGTTCATCTCTGCCTCAACTATTGCACACTATTTAATTGCCCTGAGCCATTCCAAGCTTATACATTGACAGAGTCTTCCAGTTTTCATTGATCGATCCAATCCAAAACACTCTCTCAGAAAACCAGTATAATTGAAGGCACTGCATATTAAAGTCTGCAGTTCTGCCAAATACTACCTTGGGCAATTGCATTCCATCTTCTTCTTTTTTTAAGTTTCCCACCCTTTTTTATAACATTACTAACTTTGCACTTAAAGCTTCTGTAAAGATTGCAAAAGGCTTTTAAACATTTGTCCCACAAAGTTGAGACTGCAAGGCAAAACTGCTATTCTACAGTTTCTATATTCTGTTTTCTGTTCTGCTGTTTTCCTGACATGGCTTCTGATTTAATATTCTGCACCGGTAGTACGTGAATAACATAAGGGATGAGTAAAAGAAAGTGAGTTAAAGTCACAGGCAGGCAATAGGATTTCAGAGAGCTGTAGAGACAGAATTGTGTATATTCCCTCTTCCATTTTCTGTACGTACACCTGGGTATTGTCTGCACCACTGAAAGGCATGTGTAGACACTTAAGTGTAGCTGTTGAGACCCCTGCTGGAAAATGCCCATGATGAGAAACAGGTTCTTCCCTTAACCCCACTCCATGGACTTTTGGAACTGTTTAACTGATTATGAGACCAATCCTAGGTCTAGTCAATGGGGCTAACTCTCAGGAAAGAGTTTTTTGGATTGCACCATAAGACTGCAATCCTAACCATACTTAAAAAGGTAAAGGTAAAGGTTCCCTTGCTCGAAAGCCAGTCGAATCCGACTCAAGGGTTGCGGTGCTCATCTCCGTTTCAAAGCCAAAGAGCCAGCGCTGTCCGAAGACGTTTCCGTGGTCATGTGGCCAGCATGACTAAACACCAAGGTGCACAGGACGCTGTTACCTTCCCACCGAAGTGGTACCTGTTTATCTACTTGCAATGTCTTGCTTTCGAACTGCTAGGTTCAAACCATACTTACTAGGGAGTAATTTTTTTTATGGCAACCTGAGAATGGGCCTGTCACACCAAAATTATGGAATTCCCTCCCTAGGGAGAGTCATTTGTCCCCTCTGTCACTGTCTTCTGCCAATGGGTAATACGTAATAGGGTTGTCAGCTCTGAGTTGGGAAATTCCTGGAGATTTGGGGGTAGAGCTTGGGGAGGGTGAGGTTTGGGAAGGGGAGAAACCTCAGCAGGACATAATGCCACAGAGTCCACCCTCCAAAGTACCCATCTGTTCCAAGGGAACTGATCTCTGTAGTCTGGAGATCATTTGTAATTTCAGGAGATCACCAGGTCCCACCTGGAGACTGGGAAGTGTAGAGGTGCCCCTGGTAGGAGTGGGAGACCCAATGTCAGTCCTCTGTAGGGATCAGCAGAAATGCTCTGGTTTTGTCATAGACTTCCTGAAACTAATAGCAGCTG